AAAAACTAGGTGTGCAAAAAACTTCCTTTTCTAAAATGAAACAAAGCTCTTTAAGGATAATTTGTGATCGAAATATCAAAACACAAGCCTTATAATTGATTTAACAACAAAAAATGGTAATAAAGCGTTGTTCATTCTGAGGAATCGCACGCACTCTTTTGTGGCCGAGAACTGGGCCCGCTGGCCAATAACTGGGCCCACGAACGAAGCCTCCATTTTCGTTATTACTCGGGAGAAAACAGCGTTGAGCAGTCGATAGCTCTACATGTGTAAACTGAATGCTGAAGCTAGTTATGCGTGAAATTTTAACTCCTTACGGCTATTCCAAGGTGAGAAATACAAGTTTACGTTTTTTGTGGTCGAGAACTGGGCCCCATACTGTACCTCCACTGCTAGACGGGGACAAGCAAGGACATTGGAATGAAAATATTTCCCTGGGGTGGGGACATTGGCTCATTTTTTCAAGTTCATTTGTCCCCGCCTTTTCCCGGGTTGCGTGGAGGGGGTGGGAGATTTTCTTTGACTGGTGCAGTGTGATAATAAGTGGCCCGATATTTGCTCCATGCTCAATTCAGTCATCATTTGTATTTTGACTACACTCACTCGGAAAAATTCTGCAACACTCGCAAAAATTTCACCACGATACTTCACACCAAAATGTCTACCGCGTTACGCTTAAATTTTTGTCACTTACTCCATTTGCCTTTGTTAGAGCTTCAGCCCGAGGACTTATTAAAACGGAACCTCGTCTGTTGGCAGAGGCGGCCGATCCCATGAGGAATACCCGTAATTTGTTGTACTTTTATAGAACTTCATGCAACTATATAGCTTCTTGTTTTCGTCAAACCTTCTTCGCTCGAACGCTCTAGGAATGCCTCGTTGTTGTTAGCTTCGCCAGGATTTTCAATAGCCATGACGCCATCTTGTTTAGCTGTTTACTTGGATACCGTGGCACTTCGGCCTCGATTCCATGTATGACGTACCATATACGCGCCGTTGTTCCGAAAACGGTCCCGAAAACGAGGAGTGCAATCTCGTTCCCAGAGTCTACGTTCCCCTTGACCAGCAGTCGGAAAACGAGAGCTCTGTGAGCAACTATTTCAGGCATGCGCCATAGATGCAGACTGCGCAGTGAAACCGGATGGGCAGAATCACCAGAATTCGGTTATTTCAAAACGGTTGCTCCCAGAGCTCTCGTTTTCCGACCGCTGGTCAAGGGGAACGAAGACTCTGGGAACGGGATTGCGAGGAGGGCGGAGAGCGGAGTGCGGAGTGCGGAGTGCGGAGTGCAGAATGTAAAAAAAAAATAGTAACAATAGATAAATAAAAAATCAAAAATAAGAAATAAAACAAAATTTTAACGGGAATTGATAGAATAATTAAATTCATAAATATACTAAACATAGAAATTTAAGAAATATTAATAAAAAAGTTCCACGCCGCCCGAAATGAACCGTTCATATTCAAAATGGTATATTCAACTCACGATTTTCATAGTTAGCAGTTTACGTTTATGAAAAAAATAAAGAACAGTCCAGTTTTTACCGTGTCTAGAAAATGTGACAAATCAGGACTCGAACTTAAAGTGCACCTAACCCCAAAAATTTTTTTTCGCTAGAACGAATCTACTTATTATTTGAAATAGTT